TGCTAGCTTGGTGGCCTTGGGGAAACTTCACTCAGATTTCATCTCTTTTCCTTCTCTTCACGAAGTATCTGTTCCTAGAACTGTGCCCAGCACATGGTGGACCAACAGTCCTCGCTTATTGAATGACTAACAGATATGTGAACTGACCTTATTGCTCGTCCTTCATGAGAATTAAGGGAGCTGATAGGTGTGAATCACTTAATGCCAGGCACAGAGTGCGCTCAATGCACTTATCGTTATTTTATAATTCATTAGCTACCTACCGAGCATCAGTATTTTTGATGATTTACTTTGCATCTTATTTCCCGTTTCCATTCCTAAATATCTATTATGAAAGCTAAAGCTTGAATTGTTAAGAAAGTGAGAGACTAAATTTATGAGCAATTACAGGAAATTCTTACCCTGACCTTATACAGATTGTTCTTACCAGGGTGTTGTTTGTGGCTATGAGTGCTACTTGGTAGTCTTAGACCTTACTTTCCAAATTTATTATGGGTCACACTGACTCCCTGCTTCTTCACCCGGCCCCACTCATGCCCACACATTCATACAAGAGCACAAATATCCACAGTGATGAGCTGGGGTCATGGGTGCAATTTGATGCCACCGCACTTAGCACCCATCACTGGCTGACAGAGACAAGTGGGGCCTCTGCCCTCAGCTTCTTTAGTGCCACCATGTTTCTGACTACTTAACTGGACCAGACTTGTCCATATCGGGTCTGATCTCTGCGTGTGTCCTTATACTAACTCATCCGAGAGCCGATTCTGAGATGTGTTAAAAGTCTTGAGAGCCTTTTGCCCTGTTATTGTGAAACAGTTTAATCTGCGGAATGCCTCCACCCCTAGGAAGAAGCCCAGCCAACTGAGAGGACAGAAGGCCTGCTCTGGGAGCACTGCCAGTCTGCACAGTCAGGCTCAGACTTGTCCCATGGTCCATCCATTTCTCTCACGCCATCTTCCCTGTGCACCCCTTCTGTGGATTCCTAAGTACAGGGTACATGAGGGTGTGGGTGTTAGTGCACGCGTGCGTGTGCATGCACCCGTGGTTGCACAAGTACATGTACCCAGGAACTTATGAGTTAGGATGGCATCCCTAAAGGAGGAAAAGCTGCCCTCCATGTGACCAGATAGGACCAGCTGCTCGTTAGAAGATCGGGTAGCTTTCTAGACTGTCCAGGGCAGGTGATGAGGTCACAGGCAGAAGAGATCAGTCTTGCTCCTGTTGATGGGCTTAGATTTGAACCCAGAAACCAGGATGGAGAACCTGTTGATGCTTTTTGTTGGCTGTAGGTCTCCGTCCTTCTGAGGCTTTCCCTGAAGCCCTGCCTTCCCCAGCCTGAGATGCACCTTCTCTGTCATTCCCAAAAGCTGCTTTTCATGAGTGTGGTGCATTCTGCCTTCCCCTAGAATGAGGTGCGAAATGGCCTGTTTCCTTCTTGTCGGGATTAAAACAAGAAAATAACTTACAAGGAAGCTAGTAGACCTAACCTGCTCCAACATTGTATCATTTTTTATCCTAAGTGTAGTGGCTTAACAGTTGTCTATTTTCACTCACTTGTGATTGTTGTGCCGAGTTCCCACTGGCCTTGGGAGCCCCAGGCTGGTGCTATTGCTATTTCTATAGCGTGCATGGCTGTGCCACAAATCTGAGTGAAGACTGAGCTTCTCTTTCCTTGTCACAACAAGAGCTCATTCCTGTTTCACAGCTTGAATCGAGTGTTAGAGATTGGTAGAACTGTCTGTGTAAATCTATCAAATACAATATTTATTAACTCACTCTTACAGTTGAAGACACAACATTGCTTCTCTTTGCAACACACAGAAAAAGTGTTATTAGCTTCACATGTCTGGGAAGAAGGGAGCCCCCAGAAGATGCCATTCATTCAGACCCCAAAACAAATAGCACCTCCTGTCCTGTTGGGCTGTGTCTGTTCATGGCTGGCTGCCCCTCCTCCCCTTTGGCCTTGAGACTGATTCTGCAGGAACTCACTGACCAGCGAGACAGACTTGCAAACTAATTCCTAAAGAAAACATTCACAAATTTAATAAAATGATGTTTATGTTACATTGCTTTTGTCCCTAAGCAAACAAGAGTCGTGCTAACAAACTGGGCTCATTTTAATTATTTTATTGCCCTTCAAAATTTTTTGGATTTCACTCTTTGAATCACCCTATCATTATCTTTCTTTCTTTCTTTCCTTCTTTCTTGATTGATTGATTATACCAGGGATCGAACTCGGGTCCTTGCGCTTACAAGGTAGGCGGTGGAACCACTGAGCTAAATCCCCAGCCCTTATCACTTTATATTTTTCCCCACAATGTTAGTGCATTATATGACCATGGTGAATATAAATGGACTTTTTTAAAAGCACTTTTTATTTTTTACTCATCTTTTAAAGCGAAATATACCAAGAAAGGGCCAAAGCATTGTAGTTTGTAATCATGGTAACTGGCCTTAAAGTTCCTGTCAGGTGAAGTACACTGCAGGAGGAAAGGAAATCAGGTAGGATAAGCTGTCCTTGACTGTCGCAGTGATGACACCCCCAGGACCCTAGCTGGTGAGTTCCCGGTACCTGTTGTTAAGGAGTAGGCCAACCTGGCTTCAGCCAAGGAGCACTGTCTACACTGATGCCTCACAAAGAACCCCTTCTGGGCCTGTGCCTCCCTGAGCGCTGCCTTCCAATGGTCACTCTGAGAAGTCCTGTGTCTGCAGGATACTGAATGGCTGGCAGCTTGCTTCGTGTGTGCATGAGCACAGTTAGCCGTCCTGTAAGAACTTACAGTTCTTACTGTAATTGTGCATTGCTTCCTGATTTCCCCTTGTCCTGGTACAGGACATATGAATCACAGATTTCATTTACTGAAAAAAGACAGCAGAATGTCTTTGTCAACTACAATTCTCAGTAATCTTTCTACATGATTGCACCAGGTACATTTTAAAGATCTGTTTAAGTTTTTTTTTTTAATCACATTTAAATGAGGTAGCTCATTGGATCAGTATTGCTATGTAAAACTTAGACACTGCAGCAACTTTCATGTGTTCATAATTTAACCACAGGGATTTAAGTAGATATTGTTCAGGATATGAATCAGCGATTTCACTGGCTTGTGGAGAACCGGAGGAAGGAACATTTTGTTCCCACTGTCTGAGGCCTTTTATCCTGCTAAATCACAAGTCGGGCCTGACAATGAAATCCTTTTTGTATCTGAATTTAAAAGGTTTTAAAATGAACTTGATGCTCTTTACAGTGAAATGTGCTCTGTGGTGCCAAATAAATTTAAAGGCTAGGTCATTGTCTTTGTTGATGCTAATAAAGAGAGATTTATTGCAGATAGTTCCCTCCCTGAAGTGACATCACCAGCGCGTGTGAGTATGACTGAATCTGTTAAACTGAAAGAGCATCATCCCCCCCTTTCACCTGTGGGAGCTTAGAGAGGCCTTGCCTGTGAATGGGTGTGCAGGAGGGAGGTCCTCACAGTTCTGAGGTACAGTGCCTCATGTCAGTAAATGAAGATTTGTCTCTTCCTCTCGTTCATTTACAAAGCTACATTTCATGCAGCTCTGTGCAGGGCATGCAGTTAGGAACCAGAAAACCAACATCAGTAGCACACAGCATCCCTCCCCTTGGAGGCTGTAGCCTGATGTAGAAGTAGTAAACCAGATGTCAGAAGAGCAGAGAGCAACTAGAATAATAGGAGGAGGCCTGGGCATGGTGTGGAGCAGGACACAGTCTTGATGAGGAAGTTTCTTCAGCTGAGGTGGATCTCTGCCAACACCTGAGTTGTCTCCAGTGCGCTTGAGTGGAGACGTATTCTTGGCAGAAGGAATATCAAAGATTAAGGTGTTTGTGATTGTTGCAGCAGTAGTCACAGTAGCCATGATACAGAATCAACCTAGATGTCTATCAGCAGATGAATGGATAAAGAAAGTGTGGAATAAATATGCAACGGAGTATTATTCATCCATAAAGGAGAGTGAAATTCTCTCATGTGCAGCAAAATAGATGGAACTGGAGCACATCTCATTCAGATGTTGACTTCAAAAATTTGACCTGAAAGTAGCATAGTAATTACTAGATACTGGGGTGGAGTAGAAAAGGGAGATTGGATTATTTTGTTTCATGTGCACTGCCAGGGACTGAACCCTGCATCCCCAGTGGTTTGGCTCTGTTGACATTGTCTTTCTGAATTGCCCAGTCTGGGCTTAGACTTGAAATCTTCCTGTCTCAGTCTCCTGGAGTGCCGGGATTATAGGTATTCACTACCACACACTGTGAGAGGTTGGATTTGATGATTTCATGCTGTATGTGCGTATGGAAATACCACTGAACCCCATTAATATGTACTGATCAACACATGTTGTTAAAAAATAAAAGCATTCTTAAGATGTGATTGCTGTGGTGTCCTTTATCTCCTGGCTGACCTATAGTTTATAGGGCTACAAATCATCGAGTTTTCTGACTATTAATCTGAATGAATTCTGTGTTTCTGGATCGTTTTAGAATACTAAGTTTCAGTTAATTCATTAGAGTGTCTTGTCTGCCCAGATGACAGTTCCTGTTCTGGCTGCAGACTTGTGTGTCACTGTGGGAGCTTGGCGCTGTCTGGCAGGCAGGACCTTCACACGCCCAGCTGTTTCCTCTTTTAAGGAAAAACTTGAACTATTAAATTTCTTAAGGTGTTTGAGCTCTAATGTGCTATTATTTTAGGGATGAAGATGGAGGAGCTATATATAAAGATGAAAAGAAGAAAGAATACGCATTGAATTTTAAAGTAAAAGATAAACTTGGATATTTAGATTTTTCTCCCCAGGGCTCTTCTGGATACAGTTGACTTTTTAAAAAAATTTTCCCCTAAGTTGAATAGCACAAGCTCCTGGAGAGTAGCGCTGCTTTCCTAGATCTCCCTTACACAGCTGGCTGGTGGGTTGTATATAGCATGTGTTTGGTGTAGGAGAAACTTGTTTGTCACTGGTGTGTGCTTACCTCCCCGACACAGCTCCTGAGGAAGAGGCACATCGGAAATGACATAGTCACTGTGGTCTTCCAGGAGCCCGGGGCGCTCCCGTTCACCCCGAGGAGCATCCGCTCACACTTCCAGCATGTCTTCGTCATCGTGCGGGTGCACAGCCCCTGCACAGAGAATGTCTGCTACAGGTGAGTCTGTCCTCTGGCCTCTTCCCACACAGCCTCTCTTCCGGGAGGCCCTTGTCTTCCAGGTATCCAGGTGTTCTCGTGCTGTAATGTTCTAACTGATCCCCCTCTAGTCGCCGAGAGAGAAATGCCTGGCAACTGAGAGAGGTAGATTATTTCTGCTTCCCTAGAAAGACCAAAGCCTGCCCAGCCAGTCCCACAGCATTTGTCATCTGCCCGGAAGTGGCCAAGGCGGCCCTTAATATCTTCCTCCTCTTGGAGAAGCCAGGATGGTGGTAATAAAGCGCTCCTTTTCAGCATCAGCCCCGGAAACACTCCCTGCTCAGGCCTGCTGAGACCAAGGGGGACACTTTCCTCTAATGTCACGGGCTTTGTGTGTACCTTGGCACCCTGAGCCATTCTTGCGCTTAGTCTTTACCCTTGTCTCAGCTCTGCATTGGCAAGTAACTGTACTGAGCATTCATGCTATACGGGGCTTGGCAAGAGCCCTCCTTGAATCCAAGACAAAATCTAGATATGTTGCTCACTACTGGCTTTGTGGGAGGTGTTTTGTTTTCTTTTATTGTTTTGTTTGTTTTGCCTATAGCTCCTTGTCTTAAAATTTAGGATTATAGTACCTACTTCAAAATGTGCTTGTGAACTTGGATGTTGTGGCAAAACCAGCACACATCTGTAACTCCAGCACTCTGGTAGGCTGAGGCAGGAGGATCACAAGTTCAAGCCCAGTGTGAGCAACACAGTGACTTAGCAAGATCCTATCACAAAGTAAAAAATAAAAAAACGTTAAAGATGTAGCTTAGAGCATAGACTTGAGTTTGGTCCTCAGTACCAACCAACCAACAAACAAAAAATATGCTTTCCTGTCTCATCTTAAAGCAGTCATCGCCGGTCCTGCTCCTGCAGGTTCAGACAGCAGCCACAAAGACTTTGTGGGGACTGTGGTCTGTGAGACTGCAGAGCACCCCACGTACACCGAGACCAGTCCAGGTGTCACATAGTGCTGGTTTCCATCCAGCTGGAACTGTGTCCCAGAGGAGCATCCTTCCCTTTCCAGGTGTCCGGGCAGTGAGTTCCTGGCCCTGTAGTGGTCCCTCTGCAGTAGGTCTGGGGTCACCTGGGCACCCGAGCTGTGTGTGCTCTCCTCCACAGTGGTTCTTGCATACCTCTTTGCTTAGGATACTGGCCTAAGTGCTCAGGACTTCTTTAAGAGAAAGATATTTGAAAAATTATAGTATCTGTGCCAGTGATGGCAAACCTTTCAGAGCTTTCAGTGATAACAAGCACCATGCTGTGGCACGTGTGCCATAGGCTCACCACCACTGATCTCCAATATGCTCAAAATACATAATGTTGGTACCAACATTATAATGTTGGTGAGTTGGCTCTTTCTTCTGGGATCTCTAATGAGCGGTGCTTATGAAGAATAATCTAAGATGAACCTTTTTAGTGGTTTGGAAACCTAGACCTAGAGCCTTAGTCTGTTCAGTATTATTTTATTCACCACTCTTTCTAGGCCTAATCAAATAGATAAGTAATACCTTTTTATTTTTAAAAAAGTTTTCTTGTTTCATGAAATTACTAGGAGAGAAATATTTTAGAAACCAGTATAGCTCTTGCGTACTTTGTGTTATTTTTTCTGTATAGGAGATAGCATATGCAAATCCTTCAGAGATGGAGTCACTGGATTTTAAGAAACTGCATTGTGGTCAGTAATGTAACATTTACTAATGAGATTTAAATGAAAGTCACCCTCCAGCTTTTGGAAATGCCTCATCAGTACTGTCCAAGATCAGGAAGGAGGAACCAAGGCTTAGATGGACTCTCTCCAAGAGCCACGGCCCATCTCATGTTGTCTTTACTTTTCTCTTCCCCAGTGTTGGAGTTTCCAGGTCAAAGGATGTGCCACCATTTGGTCCCCCAATTCCCAAAGGTGTAACTTTTCCAAAGTCAGCAGTGTTTCGGGACTTCCTTTTAGCCAAGGTAATCAATGCAGAGAATGCAGCCCACAAATCAGAAAAATTTCGAGCAATGGCCACTCGAACAAGGCAAGAGTACTTGAAAGACCTGGCAGAGAATTTCGTCACGACTGCCACCGTGGACACCTCTGCAAAATTCAGCTTCATCACACTAGGTGCAAAGAAGAAGGAGAGAGTGAAGCCCAGGAAGGATGCTCATCTGTTCAGCATTGGGGCCATCATGTGGCACATGGTGGCACGGGACTTTGGCCAGTCTGCCGACATCGAGTGTCTTCTTGGGATTTCCAATGAGTTCATAATGTTGATTGAAAAGGATTCCAAGAACGTTGTGTTTAACTGTTCGTGCAGGGATGTTATTGGGTGGACATCTGGATTAATGAGTATCAAAGTATTTTATGAAAGGGGAGAATGTATCCTTCTGTCCTCAGTGGATAACTGTACTGAAGACATACGGGAAATTGTGCAACGATTGGTAGTAAGTATACGTTTTGTGTGTTCAATCCCAGATGCCTAGCAGGTTCCACCAGGGAAATCCTCCCGTGGTTCTAGCACTTAAAGCATAAATTGCTATGCCTCGTGGATATAGAGGTTAGTTTTGAATGCTGGGTTCTTATGAGAATTGCTGTACACAGAAACGGTGGAGAAGTACCCGACATAAAGTGAATGGAAAAGTTAAGCAAACTTTCAAATACAAGAATTAGGACCTATGTTAATAATGTTTGAAGGAAAATTGTACAGATTATTGTTTGTGGTGACTTGACAGGGCACATCTTCCTTCCAAGTGGATAATTAATCGGCACAGAATGACCGACTGAGTCTTATTTACACCTTCAACTCTGTGCATATTAACAGAAGGTATTTTTCTTAAATATCTTAATTAGATTAAATATTTTATTAGTCTTCCAGTAAGTTTCTTATGGTAGTTTTAAAGACTTAACCATTAAGTTGGGAAAGCCTAGAAAACAAGAAATCAGTCTTTAAAAGAGATTTCTTTGGATCCCTAAGTTATATACATGGTATTTAAACACCCCTATTTCTGCTCCCAGTTTTTACAAAGATTCAGGTTTTAGCTTGAATATATGAAATAGAATAATATGAACAAATTTATTTCTGATTTTGATTGTTTTGTCTGTGTAATGTAAGAAGAAAACATGCTTTGACCATAGAACATCTTTGTATAAATCTCCTGAAAAGATTATATTATTTTTTTAGTTAGAAAAGACCTAAGTTAACTTTGAATCATGAAAAAAAAAAAAGGAGAAATTATATTCATTTCTTTTTTTTCCTGAGAAGCTGATGAATATTGGTAAGTTCAATACTAGTCTAGGACGGTAAGCAAAACCCTCTCTATATTCATTTCTTGTCTTTTCCCCTCCCATGAAATATAATTATTCCTTTTGTTATTAAAGACCTCATGTAAGAGAGAAAAAAAATCAGATCCATGTCTGTTAGCCCTGGAGAAATAGCCCTATCTTGATAGTAACAGGCCTGAGCACGTTCAGGCAGGTACATGTGCAGGACCAGCCATGAGTGTGGGGATGATTAGGAAGGACATGATTAGCTCGTATGCCTAGGGAATTGACTCTTGAGTTACACTTGTGAGTCTCAAGATATGCTGTGCTTTTGCTAATTACAAATACCTCCTTTTAGCATCACCACTGAATCATCATAAGCTATGTACAAATGCCAAATTACCAGCCACCAAAACATACTTCCAAAGGTGTTTATACCTGGATTCTTCCACATTTGCTGTTTCACAGACCCCATCCTGCCATTTTCCTAGAAAGATAACCAAGCTGCCTAATACCAGGAATATATTTGAGAGACATGTCCAGTGTCTGGGGTGATTTGTATCATGAAATGCTGAAAACAAATTAACCCACAGACCAGTGAAGAGGGTCAAGCATAGGGATGGAATGGTGGTCACTAGGGCAGAGGTGCTGGGGATGACTTCATCCTGCAGTTCCTTGTCCTGCTGATCACAGTGTCCCTTCCATGGTGATGAAGGTGGTATGTCATGTGTGTCACACAGTAAAGATACAGGAGGGTATAAAAGTGTGACATCTAGAGTGACGTGCCACCTTTTGAGTCACACAGAGCCACTCAGAATAGCCCATGCTGAGTTATAGGCTTTGCTGCTGTCACTTTGAAATTGTGACTGGTTTTTGAAGAAGGGTCCCAGCATTGGACCCATGAATTATGTAGCCATTCCTGGGTAGTTGAGAGGAGGCCGCTGTTTCCACGTGGTATTTGAGTCTATGTGAGGACTCCAGATACATGGAGAGCATAGTCCTTCAGATTTTGGGGGAATTAAGAGGCAAGGAACAGAGAGATAAAGAAATAATAAAAACCAAATCAGGGGAGGTGGCCAGTGGATGGTAGAAATCAGCAGAAGAGACAGAGCCTGTAGGACTCTAGGAAAGCCTGATTGATTCTAATATAGGAATGTTAGATTTCAGCTGACATTCATGCCTGAAAGAATGTAGGGGATGTTTTAGATGTCTCCTGGTAAGGTTGCTGAGTACACAGTTGAAGAATGAAGGAAAAAAGTACCAGATTATACACTTTACAAAGTGCTTCTTCAAGTTTTAAATGAGTTCATTTCATGACTTTGAAAACTTCAGCCTTTCCCTTTTTGCTGAGTCCGGAATGTCACGCTTGTCTGGGAGAAGCCGATGGGCATGTGTGCACTTCTGGTTTCCATGGAAACAGACACAGTGCCGATACATGGGACTAGCCCCAGTCCCACAGCTATACTTGCAGTCAGAGGTTTTATTAAATAGGTATCTGTGTATTCAGAGCATGTTTCATGGAAATGAACATTTATTAAACTGAAACTTCGTACATTGCCTCTGGGCTCTGGGAGGATAGGATATAATACCTCCCAACTTGAAATTTCCCACAAAAAAGTGATGTCATAGTCATCAAATGATGTTTAATGAGCCTGTGTTTTCCTTTCATTGCACGGTAAGTTACGCTCAGTAAGCATTTTGTAGGTTGCAGGAACTAATTACTGGTGCTTAGTGTGCCGAGTGGGCTGGAACCACCTCCTTCCTTTCATGTTCTTTTTTGTGGGACGACGTAGACTCCCACTCTGGAAGGGCCGTGCACTGGAACTGTCACTGCCTGGGTTTGTCCAGGAGGACAAGAGATGGCCCACAGGCACAGATGGTCCTGCTGCCGCCCACAAGAGCGCCACCCTGCACCCATCCCTGTTAACAGATGGCCCGGGAGCCTGGCTGGGGAACCCCTCTTGATCTGAAGGGTCCTCACCACCAAGCATGCACAGATGGTCACTCCAGAGAAGGGACCGGGGGACAGACTGTGACATCTCTGACTGCTGCTGGGGCCCTTCCTGAGACGAGGGGCTGCCACTCAGCATTAGCTCAGCAGTGTTGTGGGCTACATACTTGGGAGTTGAAGGAAGTTTTCGGATAGATTTTAGTGCTTTGTAGTTGAAATATGGTTTTGGAAGTCTCCACATTTTTCCATTGCTGTAATTCATCTAAAACAATAGAATGTACACGCCCACAGGCCAAGTCCAGTAACGTAAGAAGGGAACAGAGGGCATTGTCAAGAGTCCACTCTGCATGAAAACTCTAGGCTATTAAAGCTGTATCAGGAGTCATTATTTCCCTGAAAAAAGGAACAGGAACTCTACTGATTGATGCTTTTATACTTTCTTTGCATCCATTACAAGGGTTTCTTACAGTAAACTGGATTTCAGCATCCTGGTCTTGTGGCTTGCCCAGGTGCAGGAAGGGCAGAGCCATGTGGTACTCTGTAAGCTGGGAGGGCCAGGGGACAGAGACACCTGCACATGCTAAGATTGGGCACAGCATCTCTGACAATCTCCCTCCTCCCAGATAGTGACTAGAGGCTGCGAGACTGTAGAGATGACCCTGAGGAGGAATGGGCTGGGCCAGCTCGGCTTCCACGTGAACTTTGAAGGCATTGTTGCGGATGTGGAACCTTTTGGCTTCGCCTGGAAGGCTGGCCTCCGCCAAGGCAGTCGCCTGGTGGAAATCTGCAAAGTGGCCGTGGCCACGCTGACCCACGAGCAGATGATCGACCTGCTCCGGACTTCTGTGACTGTGAAGGTGGTCATCATCCAGCCCCATGACGATGGCTCTCCCCGGAGGTAAGCTCCCAGGCCCCGGGCAGTGCTCACCCTAACTGTCCAGCAGGGTCCTCGGGAAGTGTGGTCAGTTGCGTCTGTGGACTGTGAGTTAGGGTATCAGCTGTTAGTGCCATGCAAATTGGGCTTCAGAAAGGTGGGTGTGTGACACATGATGAGTTGTAACTCTAAGCCACTTGACAGGATTCTCACTGACTATAAGAACTTCAGCTAAGAGCCCGAGGGCCCAGTGATACGCAGTCTAGAAGAGATAGTCGTTATATAATACGGCTTTTAGCTGGTGGCATCTGCACAGCCAGGCTGCCTTCTAACTGTCACATGAAGCCACTTAGAGATCATTGCTGTGTGTCTGAAGGAAGGTGGGACACCAAGTGGCCTCTGTGTCCACCCATCATTCTACACGTGATGCTTCAGAGACCATGAGCTGACCTGGGTGTCGTCAGGAGAAACTGGAAAGATGTGGCTGGCTGGGAAGTTCAGAGTATGCAGGTAGAGGGAGGGAATAAAGGGCATTGTGGGAAAACAGTTCTGTGGTTAACGTTCAGAAAATAATCGTGCTCAACATTGAGAATCATGGCAAGGGCTAAGAAGTGCAAGGAAGCTGGCAGATAACATGGTGCTCCGCATGCAAGCTGGTGTCTACGCTGCAGGATGGGATCTCGTGTGGTGTCCTGTTTCCAGTGGTTCATGCAGGAAGCTCCAGGTCGCTGGCCTAGGAGAAAGGGAGGAGGCCCAGCCCCCAGGGCTTCTCTGCATGGTCTCTGAGCCCCCTTTGTAATCTGTGAGTCAGAACTTGTGTGAAGCCCACTGCATGTGCCTTTATGAAGGTCGAAGGCCAAATAAGATAATATTTTAAAGCACTTAGAACCTTTTAATATAATTGTCAATAATCCCACGTTATAATTTAGGGAAAAAAAGAGCTTTTAGGGTATTCTATTAATTTGCTTCATTCTAGAAAGAAAATCTTATCCAAAGATAGGATCACTGTGCCCACTTTGCTGACTCCTGCCTGACATCATTCTTTCTCCTTTCTGTCTCATTCTGCAGCCTTCAAACCGGCACTGTTTAGTTTCACATTCTGTTCACAAGCCACTTGGCTGAACCACGTGATGAAATCATGGCTGTTGTGTTTTCCACTTTCGTTAATTTAGACCTAACTAGCTGCATGTAACTAGATAAATCAGCTTTAACCTGTGATCTTTTAGAAAACAAACTATCCTATACCATCTTACTATGTGGGTAATGTACAGTTTTACAGAAGTCTGTTGCTATTCATCTTACCATTTGTTCCTGGCTCTATTTTCTGTGGCTGTGCTTTCAGTATTTAACCGATACGTTTCTAAGAGAGTGAGCTGAAATTCTTCTTGTATCAGTCTCGTGTCATATGAAATCCCCAAGTTGCTTCTTAGCACCCTGTCTGATTCTGCCTGTTAAATCCATCTGCTCTCCAAGGACCCATGAATCACACTAGTATAAGTACTAATAAAATACAGATAACAAACTGTGTTAAATCCATATGGAGATACCTCAAACAACTAGGATTTGGAAGCCCCATTTGACCCAGCTATTCCCCTACTGGGTATCTTCCCAAAAGAATTAAAGAATCATACCACAACGATATATATGCACCCATGTTTATAGTGGCATAGTTTGTAATAGCAAAAAAATTGGAAACAGCCCAAATGCCCATCAGTTGGAGGCTGGGTAAAGAAGATGTGATATATGAGTACTACTCAACCATAAAGAATGAGTGAGTAGAGACATTTATAGCTAAATGGGTGTACATTGAGGCCATACTCTTTTTGGGTTGTTTGAGACAGGGTCTCACTATGCTGGTGAGACTGACCTGGAACTCACTATGTAGCCCATGCTGGTCTTCAACTCACAGCGATCCTCCTGCCTCAGCCTCCTGAGTGCTGGGATTACAGGCCTGCGCCACCAAGCCTAGCTGAGACCATACTCTTAAGTGAAATAAATAGGATACGCATGTATAAATACCAAATAGTTTCTCTGGCGTGAAAAACTAAAAGTGTAAATGAGGACCAAAATGTATGATTGATAATGTGAAATAGGAAGAAAAGATCTAAAGGAGCAGGGGAAGTGGGAGGGGTAGGGGAAAAGAAAAAATACGAGAAAAGGATAAAGTGGAGACAAAGTCAATAAATAGGGAAGGGTCGAGGGGGTGAAGGGAGGGCAGGGGAAGGCGGAAAAATAAGAATCAAGATACATCACGTAAAGGTACAAGATATGACTAACTGTATTGTATGTATATCTAAAATGTACCAATAAACTTAATGAAAAAGAAAACTTTTATTAAAAATGAGACAGAAATAACAAAGACTATTTTAGGACTTTCAAGCTAAAATACTATGTGATTGAAAATCTTTTACAGTAAATTTTAAACCAGTTATTAGGAATTTTTTCATATAGTAAAGTTGATCTTCATTTGGAAATGTACATTTATGACTCTTAAGGTGAAAAGCAAATCTTTTGTCTGTTAGAGCATAATTATGAGGTGTGATAAAAAATGCAGTGAATATTTACTTTTCTAAGAAATTTTCTTAAAAGACACGTTGCCATTAATCCCCCCAGAACACTCACAGACACACACACACACACACACACACACACATACTCCGTGTGCCAGCTTTGAACACACGTATCCCATCCTTCTTGCCACTTTCTGAAGCAATTCTGAAAGTCCTCTTTCCTGAGTGTCTTTAGTGGCTTTCTCAAGGTTTCCTTAATGCCCCGAATCAATTCGAAACATTTACGTCTTATGGTCATTTTGACTTCAGAGAAGGATCGGAAGTTGAATGGTATCAGATCTGGTGAATAAGTTAGATAAGGACACCACCTAATATTTTTACCTTACAGAAATTGTTTTAAACATTTTGAATCAATTTAAGATATTGAGGCAAACACAAAAGAGGACTTCAGAACTGCTTCAAAAGTGCCAAGAACGTGGGATAAGTGTGTTAGAAGTGCGGGGTAATCCTTTGAAAAGGATTAATTACAGCGTATCTTTATTGTAATATAATGTTCTTTAAGCATTCATCATATTTTAATCATCTCATATTGTGGAATTAAGCAAAAATGTTCCATGTTCTTTTGGGTTAAAAATAACATTTATTGCCTGTTTTTTAGATTTGATTTATTTTTAGTAAGAAATGTTTTAATTTTTCAAGAGATCTACTTAATAGAAATGGTACAGTTATTGTTTTTGGTATTTAGAATGTATAATTTAGAAGAATATAATTTCCTAAGAAATACTGAATTGTTTTTCAGCTAAAACAAACAAAAACCATAGTTTAAAAGTTCTAGCTGTTACCTTTTTCCCAAGAACATGTTTAGTTTTGGGGTTTTGTTTTCATTTTTTGTTTTGTTTTCCTAAAGAGAACCGTTTGTCTCACTTGGTCTTCCCACAAATAATTATTTGTTTTAAATGCAAATTCTCATATTGAAAATAGCCAAGATATTTATTTAAGGATTTTCCTGTGTTTCTTAAAAGTTTCATGAGTGGCATTCCCTGAGTTTAATGGGTTTTTCCCTTTTGATTAATCTAAAACAACTGTCTTCGCTATTTTATTCTTCTCCAGAAGGATTGGAATCATTTTCCTAGTGGAAACACTCCAGGAATGGCAAGACTGTGACCCACATTTCTGCAAGTCAGACAGGTTTTAAGCTTAACATGTATCATTTAAAACTTTCAGTTCACTCTTCCCATTTTCTGTGAGTCTGAATTTGCACATTTTTTAATCCGTATTTTGTCCATTTTGAGTTCATTTTCTGCCTGTGGCAGTGTGGAGGCCCCGATAACTGCACTTGCAGTGGGTACACAGTGTCCTAGGTAGCCAGTGTCCCGGCAGCCTGCCCCTTCTCAGAGGCTATAAAGTAGAGATGAGGGCAGTTTCCAGTTGTCCTCATGCTCTCAGCCTACAGCTGTCCGTGTGGGTAGACTTCTTAAGAAACTCTCAAACAGGGCCTAAAAGGGAATCTGGGTACTTATTTTAAAAATTAGGAAATGTTTCTTTTAAAGGAAACATCCTTTAGTTTCCATTATACATGTAACCAAAAAAAAAAAACAAACAAAGATTTGCCTCAAGCTGGAACTACTCATTTGATTTGTGGTGTGGAAAATTACTTCCATCTTATTTTCCATATTGGCCCTTAGTGTTTGTCAGGTAAATAATTTGTTGAAATGGGCAGGTGTGTGTGTGTGTGTGTGTGTGTGTGTGTGTGTGTGTGTGTGTGTGCGCCCGTGCTCACGCGTGGGGTTTTTGTTGTTGTTGTTACAGCTGTCCTTAATGTAAGTGCCACAAGGACTACAAAAATGGCCAAATTAATTAGCTGCGAGGTATTTTCATCTTTATAAACATTATGAAAAAGTGCTTCAGTTCATTTTTGCCACTTACCAGCTCCGTATTGTTTTTTCAGGGTGTCATTGAGGAGAGAATTTGACCCAGAGCCCATCTGCCCTAGCAGTACTATAAGAAGCCTGTCATTTAATAGTTGGCTTCTGGCCTTCTCCACAGGTCAGAGGTGTCTGGTTATGACTCAGAAGCTGCTGCATTAAAGGAAGTCTTTCTGGTAGCAAGTGTTTAAGTCAAAAGCCACCTATATTTTGAAATCCCTCTTTCTGGCCCCAGGTGGGGTTGGGGGTGTCGTGCAGCTGTCCCAGCTTGAAAAGAAGGCAGAGCCATTTTTAGCTTTGCTGGTGTGGAGTTCAAGAGAGCACCAAGCAGGGAGGACCTTTGGGAATGCTTATTAAGGGATCTCTTGCTGGGGGTTAGATCCTGGAGTAAATTCATGTACATTGGGAATGAGTAGCTAGGATCAACTTGGGAATAGCCCTCTTCAGATGGAAATAAGGTTCTGAAGGAAGCAAGCCAGGAGTCCTCCCAGCTGCCAGCTGTTTGTAGCAGACATGAGGAAGATCTGCCATGGCCCAAGATGCTTCATTAAGGTCTTTCTTATTTTTGCAAAGAATAGTTCATAGCCAC